CAGAATTTCGTCAGTTTTGAAAACAAAGAATGCATGTATAAAATAAGATTTTCAATGTAACTTATAGAACTTTTCACGCTGCGTCTTATGGTCTACTTTGCTTTTCAAATAGACGTACTTAACGATAAAAAAAAAGAGATACAAACACCGGTTAACTTTGAAAGTTGGGTACTTTTAATGTGTCGGATAATCTTCGTTTAATTTTTTTTTCCTTAACTTTCTACACAAATAAGTTTGGTTTATGATTTTACAGAGAATTTGACGGCGCATCTTTTGGAAAAACAATTAGCTCTAAAGACCGAAAAGAAAAAAAGTTATAGTCAAAATACTGAGAGGTCCATTTAATCTGTGCCACCCGTTAAATACAAAGGTTTCATTTATATCTATTTTATAATTATCAATGTTTTTCTGTATATTCACTTTATTAATATGAAGACTTTATATATATTGATTCTTTATTGTAAAGAGCAATAAAGATAAAGTTTCCTAAATATTTTTATCCGTTAGTAGGATGCCTCGGCGAATACTTTTGGATTACCGTGAGTATTTTTTAAAACTTTTTTATGAATAAATAGTTGCTAATAATGTTGCCAATTCTACTAAGAGTATGTCCTATTTTGATTATATAGCTATAATCTTTTCTATATTAATTTTTTATATAGATACACTTAATAAAGCATCTGAATGGTTGAAAGAGACTGTGAATATTTATCATAATATTTTACCTTTTTTTTTGTGAACATATTTCATTGCATAGAAACAAGAGTTACCATCAGATTCTAAACATAATGCTGATGCAGCTATTAATAAAGCTTGTGATACAGTTAAAAGTGATGCAGATAGTGTCAAATCAGATGCTAATCAAGCTAAAATATCCTATGTATGTTAATATTCTTATTGAAATTACCTATTTTTCTCGTACTTCTTTATTTCAGTAAACAAGAACGAAGTTGATCATTGTTAATTATTTTTCATATCGTTCTATGACTTCTTCACAAATATAGTCAAGCAATCATTAGAAACAATCGTATATATTGTCCTAACAGTTTTTATTGTCTTTTCATCTTTTTTTTTTGGTTTTCCTGTTGTATATGTGTAGTCTTTTCTTTTTTTGTTGTATTTTTTTCGTACGAGTTTTGTGAAGCGTATAAAGAAAAGATAAAAATGTTGTATATGACTCAAAATGAATGCCAATTTGAATTTTAGCTATTTTGTTTCTGAATTTGATTCTATGAAATCATTCGCTTGCAAGTGAGCACTTAGTAATTTCAAAGAAAAAGTTGAACAAAAAGACTTTCCAAGCATTTCATAGATTTCCACAAGTTTTATTGAGGAAATGAGGTCTTTCTAATAATGTCACAGCATGTTATTAAGGTCTAATGAATTTAATTTTCTTTCTGGAAATGACGGAAAATGCGTAGTCACAGAAACATCACGATCCTAGAATTTTAATCTTCTTGACTATTAATATTAATATTTCTTCTTAGACTAAGCTCATTTGCTTAATCTACAGCATGCAAAGTTCTTCATATCGAAAAGAATTTCATAGTTGTGTTATTTGTCTTTCGAAGATTAAATGTCAGGCAATTTTTTTAATATCAACAATTTACTTTTAAAACATTGTATTAATGAAAATTGAATTAAAACGAGAATGAGATTGTTTGCTGTAATTTTACTGAATAATGTATTGAATGATACAAAAAAATCTTGAAAAATAATGAACACTGACATTTTCGTACTCAACATTTCTAATTGTTATTCTTTTCAAGTTTGTGTCATCATTTACATGACTTTCTGAAAATCATTGATGTAAAATAAAATTGCATTTTTGTACATTTTATTGCACGTAACTTAGAAATTGTTTTTCCTATGCGATGAATCACTTCATTGAATTTGTACTCTATAGAAAAAGTGTCGTAAGTACTATTCAAAGCTTTTTCCTTGAGAAATCCCGATGAAGTAATTTTTTTTTCTTAATATTTTTCTCTGCTTTCTAGTCCTTGATTGACTTTGTTTGAGCAGTTTCATTTCATAAACATTTGCTTTGACACATCACTACAAAAGGCAGACTAATAGTATTCCGTTCCATTATAATGAAACAGGTGCCATATTAGATTGTAAAACGAAATCTTCTATTTGATAGTGACAAAAGAATACCAAATAAAGATGGTATTAAGGAGTTCGCGTAATGCTTTGATAGTGTAGCAAACTGAGTACATTCTGAACGTTTTATAGTACTGTTATGAGATAACATTGCTGAAATTAATGTTGATAGTGAAATTGTATTAGTATCAAGTGTTCAAATAGTTTGCAAAATTTTTTCCATTGTAAATAAAATCATGACAGAGCTCAGTAAATAATTCAACCAAATGAAGTTTATTTGAATTTAGACGATAAATTAGATGTGTTTCTGAGCAATATCTTTTCTCTTATGGCAAAATTCAAAGATTTGGTTCGACTAGATGAACTCAATGCTTGTGTCACTTAGCATCCTTTGTATTTTTTTAATATAAAAACGCATGAAAGACGATATGTATTAAAGATCATGTTGAAATAAAAATCAGAATCGGTAAAAAAAATATAATTGCTTCACAAAAAATTCTTTACAATAACTTTTTTCAAATATTTGTAAGAAATTCTTTTGTGTGTTTCAACTCAGTATGCTCATCTTGAATAGTAGACGTAAATGAGATTAGGCGAAAAAAAGAATTTAAAAAAATCGTGTCATTTGAATTGTTCAAAAGTTATTCACATTTTTGTTTCCAATCTACTTTTAGGACATTCTGTATTTTATCACAAAAAAAAAAAGACCAGTCGATAACGTTGAATGAATAATGAAATTGTTCAAATTTACTTAACAGTCATGCCTTTAGAGACACATGCAACTTATTAATTACTGTCATTTTGTTCTATTTTATTTCTTATCTTGAAGTTTAATTTGATTAGTTCATTAGTCACTCAACGAAAAATCATCCATCATTTTAGATTGTTGCCAATCGTTATTGACAAATATTTAACACTCACTATTGAGATAAATAATCAAAGAAGTACGATTAAAATTTAGCATATATTCCCTAGTACTTTTCTCGGATAATCATGAACTAAATAATTTGAAATCTATATATAGTTGATCTTTTCTTTGAAGATGATTGATGTATTAGTGGCAGATTTAGAGAGGGAGGTATGCTGGAGGCAATCGTTCCTAGCCCAAAAAATTCTTCGTCTATTCCCTGTGGAAAATGTTAAAAAATAAGCTGATACTACCTCTAATGAGCTTCAAAACGCATTTTATGATCATGATCGCTCCCAGTCTTGATAAAATCGCCCCGAATCATAAAACCCCTAGATCCGCTCTTGTAGTATATCAAAAAAGAAAACGAAGATTAAATCCGACTTGAAGGCTTTATCATGATGGATAGATAAGTTCCAATCTTTATTTCTAAAAAAAGCATTCTTTATGAATGGTTATAAATGCTTCGTCTGAGTATCATGAACTAATCTTACAGCAAGATACATTATCAAACACGATCAAAACACGTCATTTATAAACATTTGTTCGTTCAACATTTGCATTCGATCGATTTTGTTTCGTATATAAATCAACTACATTCTAAAGAAAGTTCCATAGTATTTAATTTATTTTAGTTTTCTTCATAATATTTGTTTATTCAAATTATATCGTTCATAGAACTTATGATTGAAAAGAGAATTTATTTTTCAAGATATTCACTCGACAAAATATTAAGCCATTGTATCAAACATAATCTTACTATTGAATTTATATAAATGATTGATTCTCATATAGAATTATAAAAATAGAAACAATGTTTTTGAAACATTTGTTGTTTGCTTATTTTTTTATGTCATATAATTTTTAATCAACTAGTGTCATATGAATTTTTTCCTAGAGGTGATTCTTTTCATACGTTATTATTAATGGTTTTTTGATATTCTATTCTACACTGTGTTTTTTAATAAATTTAATATGAATAAAACATTAATCTCAAGATGAATTCTTCCAGATGAGAGAAGACTATAGTGTCTGACGTTCTCGTTTAATACATTGGCCCTATTTTTCTTGAATGTTACGTTTATTTTTTCTAGAAGCATATATTAACAACTAGCCTGTTTCAATAATAATAATGAGAGCTCCATAGAAAGATCGTGTATATAATAAAAAAAAGTACCTTATAAATTTTCTAATTTATAAGTGTCTATTTATTTTCAGTAACAAAACATATGTCATTCGCCTATTTTTTTCCGTTAATTTGTTGAAAATTTTGTTTTCCTTTGTTATTCAAGTAAGCATCGTCGTGACATCATTTGCATATACGCCTGAAGACATGTTAGCGAGCTCGATAATTACTTCCTTATCTCAAGGAAGTCTGCAACATAGAATTATGAATTAGTGATTTATTTTACATAAAAAAAAATCTAAACATAAATTTTTGAAAAAACAAATATTGAATATGAGTTTAAACATTTACTTATGTTATAAATTTATCAAATGAAACTGATAGTTTAACTATAATTATAATTAGGCTTTTTTTTTTTTTGTTTAGAGTCATAAATTTTAATGTTGAAATCTAGATATATAGGTATATATTGATCGTTAATTTTTATAAAGTCATTTTGTTCGTGATTTATTTGATCGTGGTAAATGATAATGACGAAATATAAGGCGTTTAGATCGTTTTTCTTCTTTAGGTTTCTTTGTTTTTTTTAAACATAAACATGCTTGTAATACATAACGGAATAATAATGTAATATTACGACGGAAACGATAATTTGTAAATATATAAGCATAAAAATTTATTGAATGACTAATATAACGTAGAATAAATGTTATCTCAGACCAATAGAATAATGTTCCATTTGTATCACCAAATTGTATTAAAAGAAGATAAATAATACAATATGGCAAATAACATAATGTATATGTTATTGATATAACAAGTAATGTTGAACGTGTCGAACGATAAGTGGTTCCTGTATTATTATCTGAACGACGTTGAATTTGTTCGGAATTTTGTGTTTTATATATATGTTTTATATAACATACAATAACAATATTAACTATCAATGTTAACATAGATGGTAAAACAAGATTGAGAAAACCAGCAACAAGTGCATTGAGTAATAGTGTTAATGGATTATCACCATATTCATCGCGTATATGACAACTTGTTGTGTTAAAAATATTTTCATTACTATTATTAGAAAAATTTTCCTTTAAATGAAATTTTCTTTCTCGATCATAACCCAATGTCACAATTAAATAACTATTTGCTGTAAAGAATATAATTGTAAGACAAGTAACAAGAATTATATTTGATCGTATAGTATTTAGCTGTCGAAATATATTTAAAAAACGTATTAATGTAAAACATGTTATTAACCATGAACAAAGTGCAGCAAATAACCGATTTATCATGTAAAAAAAGAAACATGAAAATGCTGATATATGCATTAGAGAAAAATATTCACTCTTGTTTATAGAATAAAGATAATGGATTAATGTCTCGATAACCCAATAAAGTAATAAGCAAGTGTCTAATTAAAATAAAAAAAAAATAATAAATAGAACTTTTTATTTCAGTAATTTATTTAGAACAGTTTTATGAATGTTATTGTTTTTTCTTCGTAAAATAGTAAATGAAAATTTTATTTCAACTTGATTTCATAGATATATATTAATGTTCTTTAGAATTATTAATCATAGATTTCGATGAAGGCAAGCGCTGATTTTTTCGTATCTTATATTTTTTTGTCACTGTCGAAAAAAATTCAATTCCATTTGTTTTTAGAACGTATTAATAACTATACTATTAATAATGAATTCGTCTATACTCAATAAAGTAAATAAGTTAAAACTTGCTGACTTGCATATTATTATGTATATATCTGATCTAGCCGTTTTGCTTGTCGAACATCTCTATAATCTAATGAAATCAATTTTCTATATTTGAATATACCAGAAAAGAAATTTAGCAAAAGAAGATATGATATCAGGCTACTAAAATGTCTCGTTTTTTTTCAAAAAAAAAACTGAATTAATGCCGTCTGGCTGTTTGCTTAGTTAACAAAATTCTTTTTAAATTAAATTGTAATTTGTTTTATGAGAAAAAAAAACGAGTATTTCTTTCACAGATAATTCATTGTTCACTTCGGGTTTCTTCTTATAGTTTGAAACAAAACAAGGTCAACCTGAATGCTAAATTTATAAATGTAGCAGGGCCTCATGATATTTTACATTAAAATAACTTTTTCATAAGCACTCATGGAGTAATTCAAGTGAGAAGTGATGTCGTGCAAGATAGCTGGAAAATACAAACTAAGGAAAATTATTGCAAAGAACATTATAAGTTACTATATTTGCTTAGTCGTCCATTAATAATCAGTAAAAAACTCAATATTCATTATCAAAGGATCACTAAATCCGTTAGATGTATCGAGGCTTTATTAGAAATGCCTGCAAAGTATAAAAAAAAAAGGAAAGACAAATTACTTTTTTCTTAAACTAGATTCTATAATTAGCTTAAACCTATTAAGCTAAAAATAACTTACCCAAAACCGATATTTCAGCAAGATAAAGATCAAATACTTTTCGCTCAGAATGAATTGTTTGTTGACATAAAGATTTAACACAAACAATTATTGTTAAAATGTTTCCTGGCAAACCAAATAGACAACATATAATTGCCATTATTCGACGAAATACATATATATATTCAGTGGACATCATTTTATTCGTATTTTATTTGTTTTCATTAATAGGACAAAAACAATATTTAAAAACAAAATCTGAAATAAAATAATTCTAGTTCATGTGCATTTAACTAAGAATAATAATCAAATTGTGTTTAGCTGATGTTTTTCATTTTTAGGACAAATACAACATAGAATAACAAGTAGATCATATGATGGAATTAAAGAAGTTTGCAAGAAAAATCTTGTTAAATAGAAAACATTAATATTCTATTAAGTATAGAAATTATATTATCAGATTGATAATCAATAGATAAATAATAAAAATCTTAAAAAGACGACAGATTTTTATTATTTATCTATTTTTTTTTGTCGATAATAAGCTTTAGATAGATTACTATATATTTCATCAGTCAAATTTGTAACTTAGTGTTTACACTGATAATAATATTAATGTCGAATATATGTTCGAAAGTATATAAACATATTATACAAGTTTTTAAAGGAATGTTACACTTACGATGAAAATAATAATGTCCTTTGAGATCATACTTGAACATAATTATCATATGGTTAATAGAATTGATGTAGACAACTCTATAATTGTCCTAAGCAAAAAGGGAAATTACACGACTAATCGGAAGAAAAATAGACCACTTTCAACCAGCTTTCTCTTTTTAAGTGCATAATTTCCTTATCAGTTGTCACTAGTATACATTCTTTTTCATCTAAATGTCAACAACATTGCAAAAAGCCAAAAGCCAAAAGTCATGTGTCCAGTTGCCAGTAAATAATATTACAAGCAAAAGGCCTATATATACATATCTATACCTACATATCATACAAAATAAAATGTGTTCATATTTAGGAGCTGTTTTATAATGGATATATTATAAGTTCAATTTTTGATATATATGCTAAAACTGAATGAGCAATAAAAAAAAGTAGAAGCAAAACATTTTAATAAGGTAGAACTTGCTGATATACTAAAGAAACGAATGCTTACTACGTCATTGAATATATTATGAACTTGATGATCAGCAATTCATTTCAGAATAATATACTATTTAGCTTTAAGAACATCTATAGCGATTCTATAGAACGACAATCGAGAAAAATGCCTTTAATAAGAATAAAGAATATAAGAAAAAGATAGATCCTTATACGACAGCAAGAAACAAAATATTTCCTTTTTCTTTCTCTTTACTTCTTCAAATCTTTTTTTTTTTTTCTTTCTCTTCTGTGCCATTTACAAACGGTTAATACTGATGAATCTAATATTAAGCAGTTCATCACTTCAAGCTGTATCTATTAATGTTTGGTGACACGAATTCAAGTACATTACATGCACAAAAAAAAAATTTTTCTTTTTGCATTATTGCCATTGCCAAAGACCTTAACTATCTTCATTAATACCATTAAAAACACTCAGACTATAATGAGAAATATAAAAATTTAATGAAAAACAAGTTACATTAATCTATATTTCTCTTGATTTTAAATATAAATATATCTATATGAGAGATTTCGCTAAACAAAGTTTCAATATATATATATGTATTTTCTTTTTTTTTGCTGAATGGCGTATTTGTTTGTTGATCTTGCCAACCTTGATTGCATTTGTTTGTTTCGATAGAAAAAAATTAATAACAGCAGCACAATAGCAACAATGTTTCGTGTGCGATCAATCGCCACTTGACTATAATACCATTTCTTTGCCTTTTCCGGAGTAATAGTTAAAGGCACCGAAGTAGAGCCAATTTACTTTATTCTTTTTCTTTTTTCTTTATTTTTTTCTTTTTGGTTGCTAACACATACACATACATTCTAATTTTCCTTGGTTGTCTACAATTTGATCGATTTACCGAATAAAATCAACCAAGCATTGTATATTTGTATACACAATAGTTACAAGAAAATTAAATCTTTCAGGTAGATGATTGTATATGGAGGTTGAAACGTAAGAACTCATTTTAAAATTAAGTGTCTATTAAAAAGTAAAAGAATGAAGCCATATGGAAGTTCTTACTTTACTTTTCAAGTTGGTCTTCCTCCTCCAGTTATTTGTTAATGTAATAAAAGAAAAACATAACTAATCATTGTTCGTTTTTTTTTTTGATTTTTAGATTATCATGTACGGAAACGAGCTTCATTGATTAAGATTCAATTATTATTCACAAAATTGATTAAAACATCATTATGTCGTATGCATCGTTTCATACAAATTCGATTATAACTGTTTAAAAAGGATATTCACTGTAAAAGTGAGACAGTATAAACTAATTTTGAAATTTTTCTTACTAAAACAAAATTATTTTGGGGTTTGAACACGTGTTAATATGTATGCTTTGTACATGTGATGCACATTTGTTTTTACAACATCAAAACTCTTATCAACTAAAATTAAGATTTCAATATTATCTTTTTTCTTTCTGTTTTTTTACCTACATAGCTATCAAATTGAAAATAATCTCTATTCTTATCTACAAACACCTCGTCTACAATCAATTGGCTCGCTAATGGCTAATTCAACAAGAGCTACTTCTCTTTATCTTCCTGCAATGAAGTATGGTAGTCAAAGTGAATTTAGTTTTTATTCAAATCCATCAGAGAAACCATCAGCAAACCCTCAAGTTTTACGATCATTGTCACCGGAAGATGTGCAAAAGATGAAATATAAAATTGCACTTGGTTAGAGAATAAAAGCAATTTACTATGTTCTAATTCTATAATATATATATATATATTTCTTATAGACAAGCAAGTAACTGAAAAACAGCAAAGAATTACTCGTGAATGGGAAAAGAAAATTGAACGAGACAAAAAATACGTAAGTAAACGTTTTTCTTTTTCCTTTTTGTACTATTTTAAAATTGATTTAAAGTGAATACAACAGCACTTTTGCAGCCTTGACGATTTGCAATTTTTTTTTTTCTTTCTTCGATTTGTCTTTAAAAAAAGAAAAAAATCTCTAAGGGAAACAAACATACATATATACATTTTGCACTACGTGTATAGGTTCAACATCAACCATTTGGACGACACGAGCGGACAACCGTTCTTAGTAAGAATTATATTCTTTTTTATAAATAAAATAATAATGATATAATATGTAATTAGAAAAAGAAGAATTAGAAGAAATTTTAACACAAGGTCGTGCTCCTTCACCCGTATTAGAAATGCCTCAGCAATATGTTCTTCATCATCCTCCACCACCACCATTACCGCCAATCCTACCACTATCATCACAGTCAATAAAACAACAACAGCAGCAACCGTATATGACAGACCCATATATTCCCAATGACAGTAACCCATCCAATGCGTACGGTTCACCACGGCAACCAATGTATAATAATTATTCTCAATATCCGACATATTCACCTTCACAACCTCAGGCACAATTACAACCACCAATTAATTCTTCAACGAATAATAATACTAATACTACTACTACAAATATTAATAATAATAATCCTGATTTTCAACGATTTTATGGACCAGTAAGTTGGCATATATATATATAATATTCCATATAGAAACAATGTTGTTTCACTACATATCTATTAGTAAAATCGATGATTGTCATTTTCAAAAAGAACAAAGACAAACACGCCTACTCTAACCATAGAAATATTAGATTAGCCTACTGACAGTTCTTCAATATGAGAAACTTCAATAGTAGATAAAAACATTTTTCTGTTTATTTTCTTCGCACTTACAGAAATTATAAAATATTCTTTTCAGTTGATGATATTTTTCTAAATTGTTATAAAAACAAATGAATCATCTCAGTTAAATAGTGCTAAATCATCTCTATATTGTATTATGATGTTAACAAATACAATATAAATGAATTATAAATGTTGTCATTATCTACAAAAATTAGTCAAATTCCCAATAGAATATCACTTGTATTCTAACAAATCAATACAATCACGGTATTCCCAAATGTTCTATATTGTAGATAATTTCAAAATCATAGCAGCTTGCAGAAAAAAAACAATATATTTTTTCCTTCATATTATTACATTTAATAAGATAATTCTAGTTGACTCCGTTCATTGATTTTAGAATTCTAGTTCTAATCCGCCGAATGCAACTATTACACAAGGCGGTATTAGTACTTCTCAACCGATTAAAGGTGATGCGCATGATCCTTTTCTTTTATTTGGTAAATCAAAAAGAATATTTGCATTAAGTGTTTATTTTTTAATATGTGAAATTCTTCATATAGATCCTAATAAAGAAGGTCACAATGTATTTAATACAATTCCTCAACAAGATCTATATGATCCATGGGGACGTCCAGGTGCTGGAGCACCATTAATTCATGCAGCAACAGGACAAAAATTTACGAGATATTCTGGTAGTTTACAGGACAAATTGGTAACTTTTTTTTGATGATTTTATATTTATAATTATAATATATACATATATCTATTAGAATCATGTTGGTCCACTTGGTTTTTATGGAAAACAATACACTGGAGATATTGAAGAACAAAAACGTGAACTGGAATTAGAACAAAGACGTCGTCAACAAGAAGAAATGGAACATCGAGCTAATGTAAATATACAGAAAAAGAAAACAAAACAAAAAGATGTGTATAATATACTTGAATTTAATACGTATATTTATTAATCAATTTTGAATGTGTCGACAAATTTTATAAAATTATGACTTAACGAAAGAATCTCTTTAGATGCATCCATCAGATTACCTATAGATACTATATTGTATTCAAATCACAATCCTAAAAGAATTTAGGCTTTGGCTAACGAGGGAACCATTTGAGGTGATATCTCACATTTGAGATGAGATCCAATTCATTGCGTAGAGTCAGTTGAGACTAGAAGAAACTTAGAAAGATTCCTCTCTATTGTGCTGCCATTTTGGGGTTATGGCCGTTACACTGGATTTTTTAACTTTTGCCACGGTAAACCGAACAAACAAGTTTTGGTCTAAAACTTTTTGTACATAGAGAGTTCTTGAAGTTATTAGAATCTACTAAAAATTTTAGCCAAAAGGAATGGTGTCTTCCCTAGATGTCAAATCCAAACAAAAAATCTGAACAAAGTTTTAGGGCACAATTCGTTTGTCCGATTTACCATGTCAAAGGTGAAGAAATCTAATGTAATGATCATAACTCCAAAAGGACACCGCATGGCAAAGAATTCTTCTAGCTTCAACAGACTGCAGGTAATGATTAGGGCCGTATCTCGAATGTATGTTATCACCTCAGATGATTCCTCTTTAGTCAAAACTCAAATCTTTTTTGAATTTTTATTAAAGTCCTATGTAGTATCTCTAGACAAAAAATCATTGAAATTGGTGAGGGGCATATGAAGAGATTCCCTCGTAAATACCAACAATAATCGTCGGCTTGAGAAATCAGTATTTATAAATCAAGTCTATCGTTGATTGACATCGACACAAATCTTTTTATATTATCTATAGGCAGGTGATACGGCTGAATGGATTACTCAACTTGAAAGAAGTCGTTATCCGTTGAAATTACATTTACCAACAACAGAACCAACCCGAGAGGTATTTTTCATTCAGAAAAAAAAAAAGGAGAGTACTGTTCAAATTATTTGTTCACCCATATGTATCAAGTGAAAATTTAAGTTATTTTTTGTTATAAAATTATCGACACGTTCAATTTAAAACAAAAAAATTTTAATAATCAATATGGTCCGGGTGGACGAATAATTTTGAAAACTAATTTTAATTTCTATTTATTTTATATTGTTTTGTTTTATTATTAATTTAATATAAAATTTTTCTTAAAAAGTTTGCTGGTGCACGTACACGATATCGATCAGACGAAAGTCGTGAATTACATGATGATCTCGTACGACAAGCCGAAGAACGTGCACGATTACAAAAACTTAATCGATATCATAATAGCATAGCTGAATTACATGTAATTATTAAAATATACTATTTTGAATGTCCAAAAATTAATTTATATTTATTTCTAGCATTCTGAAGTCATGAATAATTGGTGGGGTAAAAGTGGTGGTGGTGCACCTACATTTACAAATCGACGACATAATGTTCACAATGCATTTGAACATTCACGACAAAAATGGGTAGAATCTATGTTCTACTATTATTTAGTTTTTTTTTTTTTGTATGTTTTAATTTTAGACAACAAATCATCTTGGTCAAATGGTTATGGCTGATGATGAAGAACCCACTGAAGTTAAAGTTCAAACAACAGATTTATTTTATCCTAAATCTAAACAATTATCAAATCACCGAAATTATTACCAAGTGGCCGATGATCAAGCTTCATAAAACCAATTCAAATACAATTATTCTTTCTTTTTTTAAATTTTATTTTATCCTTGTTTGTTTTTCTTTTTTACAATTTCACAAAATACAACAAAAATACACAATTGAAATAAATGTTTTATTCTTAAGGCAAACTTTTCCATTCTCCTCGACACATTGGACATAATTTATTTGTTTGTTGAGAATTAATCCATTTCATAATGCAATGTTCATGAAAACAATGTCGACATTCACCATGTAATACTGGACATTGATCACCTGGATAACGACATTCAGAACATGATGCATCAAACGGCATACGACATATTCCACATGAATCATCATTTGTTACCCATTTCCATACGGCAACGCCATTAAACTCTTTTAAACGTATTCGCATCTAGAATAAATATTCATTTTTATTAAAATATTATTATTATTTTTTTCATTCATTAATAACAATAGTATATTCTATGAAGGACAATTTTTCATCAAGAGCAATCATCGAACTTGTCTAAGTTGTAATAAAAACAAAAAAAAAAAGAGTTTACGCTCTCATCTCTTTCATGAAGGGTTGATCACTTATTACAGTATGTTCTATTATCATAAGAAACATAAAATTCTTTATGGTTCTTTAATTCAAGAAAAAAAATGATAATAATTATATCAGTTTTGTTTACATCTGATCATTAGTTTCATCTGACAAAAAAAAAGAAAGACAAAATACAACAAAAAAAGCCATATCGNGTACATATTCTTTATGTGTGTGCATTGTGCAGCTGATTAGGTTTTTTTAAGCTTGTCGATACCTTATTTTTTTTGTATGGTTTGTTTAGAATCTCGGATTCGATATGGCTTTTTTTGTTGTATTTTGTCTTTCTTTTTTTTTGTCAGATGAAACTAATGATCAGATGTAAACAAAACTGATATAATTATTATCATTTTTTTTCTTGAATTAAAGAACCATAGAAGTTGTTTGGAAATCATGTGAGTAGTTTTTTGGACTCTCTCCCCTCTTCTCCTGTTAATTCGTTGTTTAACCTAAAGATATTCAAGCTTTTGCAAAAAATCTTCAGATTTTTTGAATCAGCGCATTTAGGAAACTACAGAGTTGGTGTGAATACCGATAATGAGCTACTGACACAGTGTTCCCTGATTACACTAGCATTTGCGTACGCTATAACATTGAAACATCAACTCCACTAAAAGATGCCCTTTTTCAAGTGCTATGTTCCTATGTCTCAATGTGCGCTATGTAAACTGAATCTGTGACCTTGGTAGTGAATAGATTAAAGCTGAACATCTCTAGGTACATTTCTTGAGGAAACTGTATTTACGTAGGACCTGTTAAGATTAGAAGAAAGACAAAATACAACAAAAAAAGCCATATCGAATCCGAGATTCTAAACAAACCATACAAAAAAAATAAGGTATCGACAAGCTTAAAAAAACCTAATCAGCTGCACAATGCACACACATAAAGAATATGTACAGAGAAAAGTAATTTCTCTTTCGATATGAAACTTTTATGACTGACTAAATACAAGACAAATAAAAAAAAAACAGGAAAGTGCACTCATACATCGCACAGTTAACGTTTTTTCTGTTGTTTTTGTTGTTCTTGTTCACGTTGACGTCGAATAGCAAGAGCAGCTAAACGTTTTTGTTCAATTTCAGCTTCAGTACATCGTGTTTTCTTTTTATCTAGACTAGCTGAATCACATCGAACTCTTGGTGAATTTATTTTTATTGTATTTTTACTAGCAATCGGTGATGATAATGGTCCAGTATTTGCTCGTTGTAAAGTTAAATTTGATAATCGATTTTGATTAAGATTTGGTTGACTAGATAGTTCAATTTTTGTTGCATCATGAACTAATGATTGATTTTCTGTTGTTAATATAGCTGACGATCGACGTGTTTCATCAAGACGTGTTAAATTATCATCATCGATACTTGGTGTTGTCATTAATATTGAATCATTATCTACGAGTACATTTTTCGATGGTAATTCAACTGGAAATTGACTTAATAATTGTTCGAAATCAGCATCATCATCATCCCAAGTAATAGTAGAAGTAACTGGTGGTAAAGAAATGGATTCTACGGATGCTTAAAAATAAAGAAAAATCATATTCATATAATAGTGCACAAATAATTCCTTGTCTAGCAGATCTCACCTTCCATGCATTTAGGAAATCGCTCTGATAGAGTAAATTCAACGAGAATTATAATGGGTGATGCCTATTTTTACTTCAAACATTTTTTTTACCTGAAAAAGCTGTTTATTAAATTTTGTCTGACCTTTTATCAAAAATATAACTAATGCTTGATATTTTTATTTGTAACTGAAGCCCACTATATGGTCTTTCATCACTCAAAAGATCATATAATTTTCTGAAAGATTGCTGTTTCTGAGCCTTTGGCACTAACACAACGATTATTTACATGCCGTTTCTTGTCAGAAGATTTTTTTGTAAGATACTTGCAGGTGATAATATTCAACTATAGACAGAGCTTCCTTGAAAATTTGAACTCGACTAATTGAAGTATTACTGAGTTATGATCTAAAAATGTCATCAGGAAATTTTTCAACTCTCGAATAGTTACTGTAAAATGACCATCATGTCAGCAAATATTTACGGGATTCGATGAAATTAATAGTGGGGATACCGAGAACTTAGTTGTAAATAATGAGACTCGTTGTATTCAAGCAATCAGAATGGCTTGGTGGCTCTGATCTATATTCTTAATAGATTATGTTCACAAAAATTTTCAGATCTCTAGTAGCTGAGATCTGTTAGGTGCGAGGAAGACTTCTGTCTATTACAGTAATTAATAGAAGAAAATAAAATAAACAAAAATTTTTATTTATTTACTCTGTGCAGCATTTGTTGATTCGAGTTCATTAAGAATAGTTGTTGTATCTGTCATTTTCTTTGTTCGTGAATGTACAGCTGGTGATGACATTGTTCGAATTTTACCCGGTGTCTTTTTACTTGTTGTCGATGGTAAATCCCAATCATCCCAAAGTGCTTCATCGATAATATCTGTATCAATATTTGCATTATTATTTGTTGTTATACATTGATCAGATGATGATGATGAGGGTGGAATAAATTTTAAATAACTATCATGACTTATATAACGTGATATAGCTGATGGAGAAGAATGTGGTTCAAATGTTGATGTAGGAGATGAAGAACGAATACGTTTTGGCATTGGCATTTCACTAGAATAAAGATAAACAAAAAAGCAAGATCTTAATTATAAAATAAATATTATTTTAAGAAATTTACATTGGATTTCCATCATTGGTTGATTCTCGTTTACATGTTTCAGTAAATTCAATCATTGTACGATATGCATTATCAACATTCTCTTTTGAGCTTGTCAATGCTGTATGACTGATAAGAATAAAAACAAAAAAAACAAAAAGATTATTTTCATATTTATTTAAAGATATGAAAAAAATACTTTTTAAAATTATTTAATCGAACTGGTCGTTGTGCTGTATGATTATTCATTACCGCGGATTGGCATATACTGAAGACACGAGAAGTTATTCGATCGGGAGTTTTTCGTGGCTATAATATATGTAATTATGTATACGTATAAAGAAAAAAATCATTTTTTTCTCTGATAAACATACTGGATGTATTTTGGGTTTTGATCGTGGTGGACATGCTAAAGTAATGAAAAAATAAATTCATTCGAAAGCATTATTTTAAATACTAAGATAAACATTCGAGTTCTATGTTTGTCGTTAATACCAGTATTTCATCTAGATTTTCTCTTCCAGACGAATGACTTAGTAAAGCTTCTGAAGGGCGAATACCTATTTTTGAAAATACAAACATACAATAACCACAAAGTTCGGGAGGAACACTGCCAACTCAGCTTGATTAAATATTGATACATATAATTTTACAAGCAATATTAATGACATATTTTAATAAAAACAAATGAAGATATCATAATCATGTAAAATATTAATCCTATTTATTTTGTTTTTCTCTTTTCATATAAATTTTATTCATTTAAACTCTAGTTTTATATTATTATGTTGAATATATTTGTATTGATGGAAAAAAATAATAAACCTACGTTTATTCAATAATGCTGTACGCTCAGTATCTGATATATCCTGCCAACTGACGGTAACGTCGTTAATATTCATATCTAGAGTGCAAATATCAATCAATTATTGCATTGTATATCATTGCATGAATACGCTAAAAAATGTATAAAAGATAGATTATTGTCCGACAAAACGAGAAAAAACCAAAACAAATCATCATTCTAAAACAAATATTCAGGAGAAGAAAAAGATCGACGAACCTGCTTGTTTTTGTTTTCTAAAAAAGTAGAGAAAAGAACAGACGAGTATCATTTATATATATATATATATGTACATATACATCCAAAGAATTAGATCACGCAAAATTTCGTTTTGCTTTGGTACGTATTTGTTAAGCCAATAATGAGAAAAAAAATACGTACAAATACATCTGTTGATAAGGATCAAATACAAAAAAAAACCGAACAAACAAACAAACAAACAAACATTCAAGAACAAATAAACAAAGAAAAGAACTGATCAAGATGGAGGATAATGATGACCGTAATGAGGGTGAGGTGGTGGTGGTCCATAGTTCTGTGGTGGATGGCCATAACCATATGGTCCAGGTGGAGGTAATGGTCCATTAAATCTTGGCGGCTGAGAAAGATGTCGTGGTGGAAGAGGACCATATGATTGTGGTGGTGGCGGTGGACGTATATCAGGCGGATAATTTGTTCGTGGACCATAATAAGGTGGTGTATGAGGATTATCATATGGTAGATATTGTTGTTGATGTGGTGGCATTGGATAATGTGAAACAGGTAGATGAGGAGGACGTTGCCAATTCGATGGCGCTGGATACATATGTGGAGGAGGTGAAGGATTAACATCGACTAAAGGCATAATTTTTTGTTGATTAATTGTTGGTATAGGTAATGATTGATTATTACTAATTGATGAAAGTGTTTTCGATTTTTGGTCCAGTTGAATACGAATAGGATGCTGTTGAGATGACGGTGGAATCGATGTGACTGGTGTAACAAGTGAATTTGATGATGATGGCATTGTTTTTGGTATTGTTATTGATGCAGATGTTGGTGTTATTGTTGTGGTTGTGGTTGTCGCTGTTGATGATGATGGTCGAGCTGATACAGCAGCAATAGCAGCAGCAGCAGCTTGTCCAATAGTATGTGCTGTTTGTGGTGTAGCTGATGAAGCTGATGCAGCAAGTGCAGCTTGTAAACGACGAGTATTATATGATAAACGTGGTTGATTATTTGATGAATCTGTTGTTTCATCACTTTGTTGTCTTGTAACATAATTTTTTGCACGTGTTAAAATTTCTTGCATTTGTTCAGTTGTTAATGGTATATGACGACTTAATGGTGTTGATAATGATAATTGACTAGTTGGATGAGGATTACGTTGATTACGTTGTTGTTGTGTTAATGCTAATTGACGACGAATTAATTCTTGTGTTAAAGCAATATCTTGTTGTTGACTTTCAGTTAATGGTGTATCGGATGATGTAAAACGTGTTTTAGATTTATTTCGTTGTTCATTATCAAAATCAGATTCAAGTGAACTTAATTGTATTGGTTTTGTTGCTTGTGTTAACACTGGACGAGATCTTGTTGATGAAATATTTTGTTGTTGTTGTTCTTTATTAGCTTTCGATGTTGTTGTTACTTGTTTAATTAAACCATCAACCGTTGTAGTTGTTGTTGATGGAACAACTTGTGTTTCACTTGCAGCTTTTGGAGGAAGAGAATTTGTTGAATTTCCTTCAGCAAATATATGTTGATAAGCTTGCATAAAATTTGGATTTGAAAGTACTTGTTGTTGCACATGAGAATAAAGACTTGGATTAACAAGCATTGCCATAACAAGAGCTGGATCAAGTATTGTTGATAATGGATGATTAGCTGCTGCTGCTGTAGTACTAGCTGATGGTGATGATGATGTTGTTGATTGGTGTTGAGATGTAGATGGCGGTGCTAGAGATGGTTCTGAAGAGTTAAATATAGAATTTTCATATTTAGCTAAAAAAAGGAAATGAATAAATTGAATTACAGACAAAAAAATATTTTAAATATATATATATATTTACCTTTTAGTGCTTTAGCATGTTTACTTATTTTATTTCTCATTTTTTTAAATTTCTTTTCAATCTCAACATTTGTATCACCACTAAGTATTTGTGCTTGTAATTTATTTCTTTGTTTTATTAATTGTCGCAATTCACTTGTTATCCTATAATTAAAAAAGAAACGTAATCGCTATTTTTTTTTTTTTTTGTATTTTAATTTACCAAGGTTTTTCATTCAATGATGATTTCGTTATATCTTTTAATCCGTCATCAGTTAGTTTTTTTTTTTTTCTTATTTGTTTATCATTATCATCATCAGATAACATATGTTTAGTTAATTTTCCATTTAAATCTATTGTATTTTCATCATCACTTTCAATTTCTCCATCTTCAGTTTCAACATGTATTTGTAATGTTGTTAAATAATCCTGAACATTATCATCAATTAAATGACGAAATAATAATGATGATGATGAATTATTATTTAGACGTAAACGACGTTTTATTTCTTCAATGCAACTAACATTTGAAAAGAAATTTGGTTGTGGTTTATGACAATGAACACGTACACGACCAAAATTCGTTGTTAAATATTCACGATATGCATTATTATTATCATCATCAAGATGAAATAATTTTATAGGACGTATTAATTTCATAACACTCATATCAATAATACTTTCTGATGGTGGTGTTTTTGAACGAAATAATATTGTTGATTTTGATGGATTTAAAGCAAGATTATCAACAATCTTTTTAAAACGTTTTGGTTCAATTGGTGATGTTAATTTTGTATTTTCATCATCTGAACTATCACCGAGTTCACCATCTTCACGTTTTTCTTTATCACCGGTTTTTGCTAGAAAAATTTTCAAAAACAAAATTAAAAAATAAATTATTTTAGAATACAAGAATAAAAAATTGTTTACCACTGTTTTTTTTCATTTGTGCTTCCTTTTCTTTTTCAGCAGCAGCTTGTCTTTGTGCTTTTAATTTTTCTCTTTCTTGTGCACCTGCTTTTTTAATACGATCAAGTTCTAATTTAAGTGCATGATCTTTATCTGTAGAAGATTTTATTGGTATTTGATTATTTGTTTTATCCGATGGTAAATGATTTGTTTTATTCGGTTTTGGTACAAGACGATTATCAAATGATGGATCACGTTGTTCATCTGGACGATCAAGATCTTGATAAGAAATCATATTTCGATTATTTTCATGTTGTTGCTGTTGTTGTTGTTGTTGTCGACGGCGTTTATGCGCTTTTGATGGTGATATATTTATTGTTAGAGATTCATCATTATTACTATTTGATGAAAGATGTTGTCGAACAAGTTTATCTTCATCTTCATGGGGTTCAAGAAATGGAATTTGATCAGGATTTGCAATTCGCATTAATTCATATGTTGTAGCATTTGGTGGTATAAAAGTTATTGGAGTTTGAGAGTTTGGATTAAATTGTGAATGATGAGGCGGTAGTAATGGTGGAGGCGATGGTGAATGATATGTATTACCATGTGGATGCCATGGACCATTGGGACGTATTAATGGTAAAGGACCAGGACGATAATTTGGATTATTTTGCCATTGATTTGGTGGTGTACCTGGTGGTAATAATGGTTTCTGTGGTAGATAATTTTGTTGTAGTGGCGGTTGTTGTTGTCGACGTGCGTAATCACGACCCTAGAAGAAAAAAATAAATTGTTTTGTCTTTTAGAAAGTTTATTAATCAAGAAGATAGAACAACAAAAAAAGAAAATGTTGATATTTTATGCATGGCATTACCCCGAAAAAAACACCGCCATCATTCGGTGCCGGCATAAGACGCTGGGGTGGTCGAAGTGGTGGAACCGGCGGTGGATGGCGCATGCCTATATAATTAGTACATATAAAAAAAATAGAATCAAACTAACTGTTCTATGGGATTTATAACGTTTCGCATTGAATCATACCTGGTCTCATTAGACCGTGAACAGATGATAATTAAAGACAAGAAAAAAAACAGAATACTAATTCTCCTCAAATAAGTACTCGATTTGATAATTATGAAAACGAACGTAACTTGAAGAATATACGTATAGATAGAAGAAAGGAATTTATTATCAAATTGAAGATTTAATAGCCATTTTTGATGATACAAGAACTCAACATTTGATCATTTCCAGAAAAAAAATAAACATTAGAGACTTTTCAAGAAAATGTAGAACTTTGATTTGATTGTTTTCAAAGAATTATTTTTTTTAAACTTATTTCTATTTTTTTTGAAGTATTTTTCGGAACAATAGAGGACGTACTAGTGTCATCGAACGTTTGGTTGCGACATCTTTCGAATGAAAACCAACTTTATCCAACAACCAACTGATTTATATAACAAGTTTAATGCTCATCGTTGCGACTCGTTTGACCTTCGACTGAATGTTGAACTCTTTCTGCATAATGTATTGCTTTACAAGTTCAATCGTCACTAATATTAAATGCGTATACACGCAGTTGTGTATGTGTGCATCTGAGTTTCAATGTTGATATGTGTGTATGTGTAGATGTGCATGTTCTTGTGGTTGTTCTCTTCATCTATTCAACTGATCGCACTTAAATCTATACCAAACGCAATTACTATTACACATTTATATACTTACGCACAACCCTACCTTTCACACATCGACACATTGACACTCAATATCTGCTTCGAAAAAAATAAATATAGTAGAAGTTCGATAGCTTAGCCAAATCTTAATATGTACCCAAATCCTTTCACGGTTTTTATTAAGGCATTATGTGATTTTTATAGACAAAAATTCATTGAAATCCGATAGAGGCATCTCGAAAGGTTCCATCGGGAGTTGTAGAAATTTAAAGAAAATTCCGATAGTAGTAGAAACAAATTGCAGCTTCGAGTGCATATGAAGCATACATCTTATAATCAGATTGTTAATTAATATAACAAAAATAGATTAACATCTCTCTCAGTAAGTATCGATTTATCTTTAAACTTTGAGATAATAGATAACACTGAACATCTGTCGAAAGGCATGAATTAGGACTCGACCAAAACTTATTTAGTCGAAATATAAAATACACTGCCATAGTTAAAAACTCGAAAATTTCATAGAATGATATATCCATGTCACCAGTCCGAACATGTTCGAAACTAGTAGATCATTGTGTGGTATTTAATAAGTCTGTAAAATTTAGAGATTGAACAAATAGTCAAGGTAAAAGTGATTGACTAGTTGGAGAAGCTTCTTCCTGAGATAAGAGAAAGTACCAATAGATTTTTATATTCTAATCTACTTTAGATTTTACTGTCGGAAGTGAATAATCTTTTATATCTTCGAGTTAGTTTCATACGCCATATTTCGCTATATTGGACGTGATTCGATAAGTGGTACTTCAAGTATCAGACTGACATGTTTCCTACATAATCCAGTTTTTTTTGCCAAGAGAAAAACACAAGTGATTCTGATAGCATCGGATAATGGGATGCGAAAGAAACCGATCGAATCTTTCTCGGCGCAATCTGATCTGGAATCAGGCTGCAAAGATGCAGACAAAACCCAGGTCAGAGAGCCAATTGACTTTTCAAGAGAAAATGCCGCTTTGTGGGGTAATCTAATATTGGATTCGATCTTTTCCGATATGATCCACAGACAAGATTGAATCACTTAGGTACTCAAAAATAATAGATGTTTATGATAAAAACAAAAAACAAAAGTTAAAAAATCCCTTGTTTGTAGTACAATGCTGAATTCTGCGTGTGATATTGTCATATCAGTTGAAAGATGCGACGTTACACCCACTGTGACTACGAGCACTTCGAAATGTCATGTACCAATGATCAAATACTGCCATCAGACGATCTGATCATATACATACTTCATCTAGAAAATAAAAACAAAATATTTCAATTAAACAGAATCCAGTAGAGCAATAGCTAAAACTTTAGCAGCAAACTAACGAATTCAGAGAGAATCCATTGTTTTAATTCACTTCACCATCTGACAGAAGTCCATGGGTTGATTGGCAAATAAAGCGGTTCAACCAATCACGACATGAATTTAATATCTAAAATATGCTCTATCTTTATCTATCCATCTGATTACATCTCGGATGTGAATCATAATTTACATGGTATTAAACATCAATTACACGATCTATGCATCTTCGGTAATGATCTTACTTATTCATCTGTTCATTTATACGCAGCTTTTATTTCTCAGGAATTAAAACTCATCACTCTGCAATTCAATACCCATGTTGAACATCTTCACATCATATCACATAATTACATCAAGTCAACAAATATTCGAAAGGCAAAAGGAAGTTTTTCCATCCTTTAAAATCAAGCTCAATTAAAAGACGCTTGTTTGTAGAAGTACTTGCTCTCCATATTATGAACACTGTAGATTGACAATGAGAAACAAACAACATTTTTCTGTCTCAAATGAAATCACCCGAAAAAAAAAGAAAGGGCAAAAGATCGCAAGACAACGTAGTTTGATAAACAAAAACTTGAAAATCTTGTACAATATCGATGGAAAACAGGGGTAAATATGAGCGAAGAGTAGCCTAAAGCATCCATGAACACTTGCATTCACACCTACATCCCCATGCCCAGCATCAGGGGTATCAGTTCGAAAGTAGTTTATGTCATCAAAAGAAACTAAAATTTTATTCTACTTTGTTGTGGAACATGGGCCAAATATTGGATTTCTTGAGCACTGATGTTGTTCTAACAAAAGTTCACTGTGCTTTGTGTCTTTTTTGAACGCACAGTGAATCATAGATACAGAGTGTAAGGATAGTACTTGATTTTGTTCGAGAGCTTTGGCAAAATATTATGCTCCTTGGGCATCGATTGAATTGTAGCTGAAGTTCAGTATGGTCAGTGTCTGTTTAGAAGAAGCAGCGAATGATAGATAGAGAATGTAAAGATATTACTTTGTTTTGTTCCAAAGCTTTGGAAATATGTTGTGCTTCTTGATGACCGATCTTCGGCCTACTGATATCCAGTTTAGTTAGTGTCTATGTGGGGGAATAAGAAAGTTGAAATAATGGAAGATGGATGTTTAGCGAAGGAAAGTACTCTAATGGGACATCATATAGATTGATATCTTAGATATATATGAATAATATGTTAAAGACGATGAAAGGCAAATTTTCACATATAATGGCGTTTTACTTAATATCGCTAATAGCTCTCGAGAATATCATTCATATATGTACAAACATTTCGCGCCGAGCAGACAACACTGAAATCATCAAGATGATCCACAATTCGGTAGACGAGTTCTACCGATAATGTCAGAAGAGTTGCAATAATTTTGGTCGACATAAAATGAAAATTTTTCAGATATTTGGAATGTTGAAATGTATATTGAATATGCGATGTGTTTAGTGAAGTTATTTTTGTTTATGCGAATTTGTAATAGTTTTGTGTTATGAGTTTCTGATGCTTGTGTAATTACTTGTTTGGATAGAGTAATACAAAATAACCATACACTGTGAAAGCATCATGGTCACAACTACAGTTAACTTTGCGTTTTGACAAATTTTATTTGTCGAATGATAAAATATGGATATTCATAACTTTGGAATTTCTTTTTCGTTCTTCTGGGTCAAACTTCAACTAAGATTCGACGGAATAGTTGCTCGTGTAAAGTTTTCTGCATTTAACTTTTATTGCACATGCAATTCTTTTATCTAATAACCAATTAAACCGTTACAATCGAATCACATCGTAAGCACGCAATTGCATACAGCACGGCATCGAAAATTTTATCATTATGGTCTTTCAGACAACTACGTAAACGCCATATACTCGTCCATTATCTCCTTCGTCATTATCTTCTATTATGATGCTGTCTGAAATCTATGTTAGAGAACTTCGTAATGATATATAATCAATAGTTTTGATAAAGCTTATTTAATATCATCGAGTGGTGCACGGCACCATGGTTCAGCAAACTTTTCCATGAATATCATATTTTTTTTTAGTTTCGTGTTATTTAGAATTGCTGTTCTATTATATTTAAGAACCTAGAAATGTTTTAGAACTGCTTCATATGGCAATCAATAGCTTTCGTTCACAACTATACAATGATATAAAGTGCAATGCTTAAAGATATCTAACTAAAAAGCTGTATTGATGTGAATATTGGATGGATTTTCAGGTGAACGAAAATAATATATAGATTTTCAAATATTAGTAATGCGTTGTGCTTTCGTTCAATAGTAAAAAAATATTCTACTTTTGTGTAACTTCTCACGAATTTACTTTTCGAGTATTTTGCGTGTCTGTTTATCCTCAGTTCGGATGGAATCATGTGATACATACTCGAGGTGGATGTGATAGTCTCGCGCGCTGTTTCACACGACTACGAATATCTATGCAAATGTCTGTCAGAACTTTTCGGAGCGCATATTATGTCATTCCAATCGTTGAGATTAGCCATAGCAAAATTCGTTAATAAAAACGAGTGGAGACAGAATCGTTTAATACATCTTGATGTAAGTATTGTTGCATACTGTCCCGTCAATATCTCGTACCCAAATGACTCTATATAATGCATGAAAATACCAAGTTGTACCTTGTAACTAGAATTGTTTGGGTAACCATCACTGTATTAATAGTGTAACCTCAATCTGTGAGTTATGAGTTTACGGTGTAAAAATGGTGCAAGCACAATCCATTTAGGAATACTTTAAAGGGTGGTTTAAATAGTCATAATGTATAGTAAATGGATTGTATCCTTCTGTTCATGTCATTATCAAAATATCATCTATATTTTTGCGTGCGATCAAACGCTATAAATGTACACAACTTACAATCTGTATTTACACTGCTTACTACATTAAGGTTGACGTGTTTTCACGTTTACTGACTAAGAACAAACCGTAAATGGTATCTACTTTGAACTGTTTTAAGATAAGTAAAGATTTAGAGTATCAAAGTTTCATAGCAT